AGAGCGAAGAACAAACACATGAAAACGTTGCAGATTTGCCAAACAACACGAAGCCACGGCTTCCTCTCCTTACAAACTTCTCCCATAGCTGCTGATTGTTTCACTTCCCCGCCCGGGCCCACGGGACGTGCACACGATTTAAAGCAGGCGCACCTGCAGTTCCGCAAGGCTGTCAAATTGGTGAAAACCGTAATGGGTTCGCTCGATATCTATCACGTCTCCTGACGGATGCATCGACCACAGGCGGTGTAAACGACTCACTATCGCGTTGTTTCTTTGTTTTATTTATATATTTACCTTTTATTTTGTATAATTTTCCATAATTTGCACAAAAAAGTAATTAAAGTTGTTAATTTAATATGTCATATCCCGCAAGCATCTTCTAAAACAAACAAACGTGTACGTAAGCATCAAATAAACCTGGGACCCTTTTATTCCTGGACACCCTGATCGATAAATCGAGCACACATTTCAAAAGTCCGCAATGACGTTAGTCTGCTAGAAGACACGCCTTATCCGATTAATCAGACGCGTCCTTGCTGCCGCCATCTTGCAGCGGGGTTCTGAGACCAGTTAAAGATGGAATCGGGGACAATTTTCCATATTCTGCTACTGTAACGGTGCTGATAAAGTTCTCCACAGCAGGGAAATATGATCTAAATCCTTTAAATGTTTTATCAGGATGATGATTGTTTTGTTTTCCTCATGTTAGGTTTGATTTAGTGTATTTTTGTCTTTTCTTTCTTTTGTTGTCATTGTTGTGTTATTTTAACATGTTCAAAATAAAACCGCAAAAAGGAACAGGCTATGTTTCGACATTACTTACACAAAGCATGCAGTTAAATATCATTTTACAAAAGCTCTTTCTCTCTGTGTGTCTTTTAATATGAAAACTTGAAGGCTTGCATTTATTTGTCTCAGTGTCTGACGTTTCTGACATGAAATATTTTCATTTTAATAATGGAGATCCCGGTTATGATATATGCCTTAATAATGCACTAGGAATTACAGTAGTTCCCCGCACCAATATGGCGGCTGGGCGGAGGTGTTGCTGCAAAGCTTTATGATATCTTTACAAAATAAAAGTACCATGAGTATAAACCTTGTCACTGGTCAGAACAAAGACCAGAAAAGAAAGAAAAATGTCTGAAAATCTAAACTAAAGCAAACAAAGCTGTTTAGATTTTTATTTATTTTTTTGTTTCATTCTTTTTCTTTTGTTAAATATAAATGTGTAAACACTGCTTTAACACTTTTGTATTAAATCAACAGACTCAGACTCTTATATTATACTAGTAAAGTTTCATTTGTTTAGATGTTTCAAGCCCACAAAATTTAACTGTAGCTTTGACGTTGCTTGTATGTGGTAAAACTGGCATTAAAATAAATAATAACTTGATTTACACGTGTGCACACACCATTGGGAATCTATTACGTTGGTGCAAATCAAAGTGACAGCAGGTGCAGCGAAGCAGCAACACAAGACAGTTTAGCAGGTGCTGGTCATGGGTCACTGCTCTTTCACTTCTCACTGATTTTTCGCCTGTTTTACATTTTGCTTTTTTGTCTTATACTGTGACAATCAAGTGTGCCCTGAATATTAATTTAAATGTACTATGCATTTATTTCGAGAATTGTCTAAATTAACTGTGATCTATAAGAAGTATAAGGAGTGAACACAGCATCCAGCTCAAAACAAGAAGCAAAAAGGTTTCACCTCAGATGAACTTCAGTGCAACCTTAGGCAATATTATTTTAACATGTATCCAGTCTGAAGCTTGTAGATTATTCCAGGAAGAAGGGCAACATGTTCAAAAGCTTTTTGGTAATTTGGATGTTTTTATGTACAGCTGTGAAGGCTTATTCTTGGCACGCTTTTACACATTCTGCAGGATAGTACACTGAAAGCACACTGAGTCACAAACAGGTTTAATCAATGTGGCAGTGAGCTAAAATGAGGTGTAACTCCACTAGATACTTATTTTAATCTAATATAGTCAATTTACCTCAATTTCAGTTTAATTTCAATTAAATTTCTCTTATTCCATAAAATGTAATTCAGGATTCTGTCATATCTCCTGCTTATAATAGCTCTTAAGGACATTGATGTGACTCCTAATACATTTTAGCAAAGCACTGCTGTATTTTATTTTGAAACAAACTCCGTTGAACGTCGGTTCTGTCTGCTGCTCGCGTGTCGGCCGCTACTAATATATGTATGGAGGGACAAAGATGCCAAAATGACATAACTAAATAAATAAATAAATAAAGTTACATGAATGAAATCAAGCCGTAAAGAAATACAATACAATACAATATAATTGATTTAATAAATATCCATTCATTTTATTTGAAAGCAGAGAGTTATTTCACTGTTTTATTATTTTGTATTTCCTGTGCTGCAGTGCATCATGGACTCTAGCATATGACTGGTTACCTTGTACAGCAAGTCAAGACAGAGAATGGATGACTGCCACAATCAGTTAGTGTTGGTGTCCACTTGGCTGCCAGGTATCCCAATTATGGATTTTGACTAAAATCCCAACTGGTAATTATGGAGGATCATGGGACAAAGTGCAAGTCAAATGCTTTTTCTGTTGTTACATTCACCAAATATACTTTGTTTTTTTTTTTCTTATTTTTATTTATTTTTTAGTTGTGAATGTAGTGACACGATCTTCTAAATGATTTGTCAATGTAGAGTCTATTTGGAGAAGTGTTCCATTGTTTTTGGAAATCTGAGGTTAGCCTAACACCCAGTTTGCCTTAGCAGCTATGAACTGCCCAGGCTGTCAGATCTCACCTAACTGGCACACCTGAAAAGAAGTCTATTCCCAGCACTCTGTTTCCAAAGCACTGACCCTAATCTCTAAATGGATGGAAAAACTGGATTTACTCCTCTTAGGTGATATCAAACAGGTGATATTTTCTTCATTTCAGTGTTTTATTTCTTCAACAACAAATAAGTTTGGCTGATATCAAAGTTAATCTTGGACTGGACAGTTTCAGTGGAGCACTGTCAGTATATTTTAAATTGTGTCACTTGCTTGTTTTTATGCCTGATGTTCAGATTGTATTATACTTCTTTATAGTGTTTTATTTTCAATTAATTAATTAACATCAATTAACTGATGCTGAAAATATTTTTAATGCAGGGAAAGAACTCAGAACCTTTTCACTGGGGGAAGAAACATCTGGACCAGCAGGTGCTGAAGAGTGAAAAAAATATTTGTTATCAAAATTTAGTCAACTGTATTCTAAACACCAACTGTCTGTTATAAGTGTTGAAAGTCTAACAAACAACAAATAACAACAAACAAATAAATATGAAAAGGGCTTTTTCAATGAGAATTGAGAGTTATGTACACATGTATATTATTATTAGTAGAGCTCTACAGAACAGTCTGTTGATTAATTATCATATTATATCTAATATACTGGTGTACCGTTTTTCACCACCATCTTCCAAATGAGTCCAGTGTTTATGTCCGTTCACTTAGAACGTCAGGGATAATGAATTATTTATCGACGCATTTCATGTTGGCACTGTTAGCCCTCCATACTGTGGGTGTTGACATGTCTGTGTCATTTGGTCAGCTGATTGCGGGTCGTAAAGCCTCTGGGATAGCCAGTTTAGTTAGCCTAGCTTGGCTGTATGTTTGTTTTTTTTAACGTTGGTACAAAGGTGGCCTTTAACGTAGCCCTGACGTTTTAAAAAGCTGTAGCAATTTACGGCATTTCAAGCGCCGCTGCCTGCCTTTTTTGCGGCTGTTAGCCTAGCAACGGTTAGAGTGGCCGTGGGGAAGGGAGTGAAGTTGCTCTCCGAGTCTCTGCATTGCAGCTCCGGGTGCTGCTGATGGAATTCAAACACACAACAATGGCGACTCCCAGCCCTAACAACCCAACAACACCCAGCAGCAACAACGCAGGAGCACACCAGCAGCACCAGTCCCAGTCCCAGCACATTACCACCATGAGCAGCATGCAGGGTAAGTGGGAGGCGGTGGGAAAATATTCTGGTGAAGCTGGAGGAGGAGGGGAGGGCTCACATTCTGCTGCAGTGAAGGTTAATGTTAGCAAGGCTAGCCGTGGGAGGCTCAGGCTACTCCCAGGACTGAAAAACATTCCCAAGGGAGCGGACTAGCATCCCCCCCTCAGACAGGAGAGCTGTTATTTCCGAGTTCACCAATTGGAAAAATAATCAATTTATTATTTCTTTGCTAACGAGTTAAATGTCCTTGTTACCATTTTTTGGTGTTTTATTGCCCCGTTGCATCCTTTTTTTCTATTGCCTTGACATAATCTCGCCAAGTCCCATTACAAAAACAGGGAATTTTAGCTAGCGGTGATATTTCTTTATCGTACATAAACCTATTAAAATATTTATGTTGGTAAATAACACAGACAGTGGAGGGACATTGTTCAGCTTAGATTAGAGCAGTGTTTCTGAATGCACTTGGGTTGCAGCACTCTTGACATTCAAGATGATCTTCCACACGTACACGGTGGCTTGCACCTCAGTTATGTTAGTGTTACGTAGGCTGACTTTATCAAAACGCCCAACGATTGAGATTTTCTCAGAAATATTTGCTGTACGTTGATGGAAATAACGTAAGTTAAATAGCTGGATTTATTATTGGAGTTTAGTTATATCGGATGCATTATTTACAGATCTATTAAGCAGCAGGTTTATGCAACTCAGTGCAGCACATCTCCATACTTGCTTGTGCAGACAGTAGTGAAGGCTTTCTCAGCACCACCACACGAAAATGCTCTTTACCTATGCTGTGGTTTTTGTACAAACAGTCTCTCATTTTAACTTTCAGAGTCCAACACCTGCTGGAGATGTCAGAGTGAAACAGGTAGCTACACACTTCCTTGACTTAGTAGAGTCAGATAAGCAGATGACTTTAAAAATACAGTGTTTTATCTGCATAGTAAATTCTTGGGAAAATGAAACAGCTATTACATACTCTGATTTAGAAAATAAGTCTCACAATATACTGATGTAAGAATCCCTGAATCATGAAGGTGAATATTGCTTGATTGGAATTAGGTGTATTTCACTTTAATGTAATCAGTGTAAATGAGATGCATGCCTTTTTCAGCCCTCGTAGATGTCACAATAATAAACTTGATGCCACTTTAATTAAGCCTAACGTTAGCGATAACATAACCTTCGAGTGCTTTGATTGTTTAATTTTTATATTTACATTTACGTCACGTAATCCTGTCTCTGTTTACTTTTCCCTGACTGTATTTCATCTTTCATTTTAATGCTGCTAACTAACGATTCCTAACGATTCCTAACTCCTCCCGTGATGCTGATGGATGGTGAGCTGTCCTAAGAGGAAAAACAAAAGTGTTTTATTTATGTACACATTTGTTGTTGTTGTTGTTTTTTTTTAAGTTCAAATAATTTCACGATCATAAGTCATGCTCGTTCCTTTTTAGTTTTACCTGCAGGCCATTTTTCCTTCTTCACTGACTGACACCTCATCCTGCTCCAAGTGCTTGGCTCATAAACATGCGTGCATGCCAGTGCATTGCCATTCAGGAAATGCATTTAACCTGCGATAGATGCACCCGAATGTTTGACAGCTCCGAAACTAAAGCCAGGGCAGTTTTTGCAAATTGCTTCTCGGGCTTTTGAGTTGTTGGGATGTTAAAGTCAAAACTGACAAAGTAGTAGTCTATCTCTTGAGGTATGTAACACAGGCTGGCATATGGAAGGTGAAATATAATAAAAATAAAAAGCTGTCTTCTCACCTCTAGGGTTTCAGATAAACCTGTCTGGAGCTCCCCCAAGTAAGCCAAATCTCTTTTGCTTCAGCACCAACAGTTCTCATCCCTTTGTTTCTGCCTGACAGTCTGGTATGGGGGAGTCTGTCCTGCTGTTCTTCACTAATCTGAGTCAAAACTTCTGATGGGTTCACGTAGGCTTGTGCCGGTACCTGATGCTTTTAATATGACCTTTTCAGATATCAGGATGTATCAGGCTACAGATGCATGCAGTTATAGAAATGTTGTTTGTTTTGTCCACGTCAGGATTTTTGTGCTGCGCAAAAAGATTTTTATTTTTATTTTTTTGTCAGACACACTTCCAGGAAAAGCGTGTCTGTTCTTGTCGGCACAAGCCTAAAATTCAGAGCTTCCATTGATAGTTTGGCACGAGATCTCTCAACGGATCCCCCCCCTCCCCCTTCTGCCAACCAAAGAAACACCAGTTTAAAAAGTGCAATGGAAGCTCTACCTGGCTGGTTTTCAGTGTGCAACTAACCAGCATAAGTAGTGCCTGTATAAGTGTGTGTGTGTTACTTTTTTTCCTCCCCTTGGCATTGGTGCACTCCAGCATAGCCCTTTCTTGTCGAGACAAGGTACGCACACTGTGAAGTTGTCATTTCACACAACTTCTTCCATAGAAACCTAGTGGAATTTCAGCACTCGCATTCCTGTGGTATTTTGGGTGGAGTGAGCTGTCCTTCGATTCAAGGTGAAATCAGAGCAGTTGGCCTGAGGAGCATGTTTCCCAATATATATTTCATTTTATTTTTTCTTTCTTAACCCCCCCCTCCTTTCATGTTTATCTTTGGGTTGGTCTGTTTGCATTGTAAGTAGAGGTGGTTTAAGCAGCATGCTGGATTTCTGTCTCTGCATCAACATCAGTGTCTGGGGGTATTTTTTTCATCTACTGTTGACATGCTTTGGAAATTTGAGTCTTTAAATTCTCAGTTTTGCACAAAGCCAGATGGTAATGCAAGTTATGATTATGAGAAACATAAACAGTGACATGATCATTTCTCACTGGTTTTTGTGCCTAGTTTGCATTCATCTGCTATTTTATTTGGTCTGTACAGCCAAACGGTCCAATCTAGCAGTCCTGCAGTAAATCCTCCTCTTTATAGTACCCGCTATGACTCCTACCAACTGCGTGAGGAGCTGTAGGGGTTTGGTTACTTGCGGATTGAGTGGAGGCCCTTGTCGTCTGGTCCACGGCTGCCCTGACTGGTGTTAGGGACATGGAGCGCCACCCCTCTTGTGAAGAAAGAAGCTAGAGCTTGTGTATGAGGTCTGTCGCATCCAACTGCAGATTGAGGGTCGTCTGGGAGTGTCTGGCAGAGTCTCCAATCGGGGAAAACTTATTCTTAGGACATGTTCTGCTGTTGTGGCCCCCTAGACCCAGAGTTGAAACGTGCTGTCATCCAATGGACCTTGGTTATTTTGTGTCTTTGGTGTCTGGAGAATGTCGTAGGTAACAGAGGACCAGATGACTTTGGATTTAACTCAAGGATGCTTTGTACCTACAGGTTTTTCTATTATTTAGGCCACCACATTTATATCAGTACCTGCAGATCTGTGTAAAGCATTAACATAGATTTCCCTGAAATTATCTTCATTCTTTCACTTTTAAGGTGTTTTTTTTGTTTTTTTAAAGATTATTATACATAATCAAGTGTCTTAATGGAGATATCAGATTTACTTTGAAAAGCCCCGCCCCTTTACTATATATGGGTTGTAAATTATAAAGATACATACCCATTATATTACCAGGACATAATGGAGGGATGGATTGGTTTTTCTGTTGTTTGATGTACCCTGATTGTTTTGATGAGGCAACATTGAGTGCAGCTGTCTGAACGACCTTCACGAGGGAGGATTTTTTGCAGGACTGCTCAAGTAGATCGTTTCGGTTTTAGCTAATGATACTAAACTGGCAACTGACTGTACACCAGTATCAGCCTGCTTGCAGTTGAGTCAGTGAGGTTGCTCCAATCACTTATTTATTTATTTGCATTTTTTTGATTAAAGTAGATTTATTCAAAACGAGATTCATTCACTTGTTTTTCCAAGTAAACTTTTTAGTGTTATTATCAGATTCGTTTTGTCCATTTCCTCAAAAATCACAAAAAATACAAACACTAGGAAAGTGCGCTGACCTTTTAATCAACATAACTCGTTGCCTTCTGTTTGTTGCTCAGTCATGCTTACGTGTCTAGTCAGCCAGGAAAAACCCCGTCTGTATTGCAACATGGAAATATTACAAGATTGTCTTTGTACGGGAAGCAGACAATCTAGTACTCCAAATCTAGAAAACGTCTGACTTTAGAATGCATCTTATCGGACCCACCATGTTTATTTTTGTTTTTAATTCCAGTATTATGAGCTTTATGACAAATGTGGTTGGGTGAGGGTTGTATTGCTCCCATGAAAAGACCAAAGTAACTGACTGAGCTGTCAGCAAACCTGAATAGAAATAAAAAC